CGCGGGGGGAGGGCGCGGCCGCCCAGCCTTTGCCGCAGCGGCCCGGGAGGCGCCCGCCGCACCGGCCTCCTTCGGTGGCGCAGGGACAGCGGCTTCTGAGCGTGGAGCGGGTGGTCTTGGTGTCCCCGACTTCTCCAGACTCCGGAGACGCCCGGCTTCCTATCTTGGGAAAGGTCACTCCGAGTCACAACGGGGCTGAGAGGGAGGTTTGGTGGCCCGCTTTCCGATTTCTGATTATGGACGTCATCCTCTCAGGATCTAGGAGGACTTGGCTGGGACTTCCAACCGACCTCCCCTCTCAGATCCCTGACCGGGCCTGGAGGCCACGGTACCGGGACCCGTGTGCATGCGGGGCTAAGGCTTCCCCACACTCCGGATGCCGCCCAAGTAGGAAGAGCGCCCTGGAGACCAAACCAGAGAGGTTGCTGTAGGGCTGGGGGCACCAGGTTTCAGGTGGGAGGCCCGGCTTGACCCCTCACACCTCCACACCTCTTTTTGTCTCTGACGTCATCTTCTAACCCGTTCCCCCTCCCAATACTCTGGCTACCCAGCTCCTCCCCCCTTGCCCAATATCCCAAGTTCATTCTCGCCTCAGGGCCCTTGCCCTGGCTCTCTCCTCTGTCGGGACCGCACCTCCCTCAGATGCAGAAAGGGTTCACACCCTCACCTCCAGCAGCTCCTGGCTCCAGTCACCCTTGTGGGGGCTTCCCACTGTCCACTGGGGGTAAACTGCTTCCCCCGCCCCTTTTTTGACCTTCTATACATTTGTTTCATTCTCTCACAGTTGTCACCACGTGACATTATACTCTTCCTTTATGATCGTTTATCTGCTTATTTCCTGTCTCCCTCACCCAGCAGCATATGCTCGCTCAGGGTCAGGTCATTGTCTCGCACAAGGCTATGTCTCCAGCACCTTGAAAGATGCCTAGTACATAGTAGGTGCTCAAATATCTGTCAAATTAATAAACAGCTAATGGTTTCCCTGGAGAAGGACATCATGCTTGGTAGAGGGTCTGCAACAAAGAGGAAGACCCTCAATGAGAGGGATTCACACAGTGGCCCCAACAACGGGCTCAAATATAAATCTGCAGGGAAGTAGTTTACATCTTCTCCCATGAAGCAGCTGGTGGGTTTGAACCACCGACCTGGTTAGCAGCCAAATGCCTTACCTACTGTGCCACCAAAAACAAAAAAAACCCACAAACCCATTGCTATAGAGTTGATTCTGACCTATGGAGACCTCCATTGGGCTTCCAAGGTGGTAAATTTTTACAGTGGATTGCCCTGTCTTCCTTCTATAGAGCTCCTTTTATTAAGTCCCCAGATGGTGCAAACTGTTAACATGCTCGGCTGCTAACCAAAAGGCTGTAAGTTCAAGTCTACTCAGAGGCCCTTCGGAAGACCAGCCTTGTGATCTCCTTCCAGAAAATCAGCCATTCACCCTGTGAAACAGTCTTACCAGGACTTGGAACAGACTTGATGGCAGCTTTCTTTCTTTTTTGTTTTTAATGCTCATTAAGCTCTTCCAATATGCTGAACTCACTTCAGCAGCAAGCAGGCCCTTTGCAGCAAGTCTTAGTATTACTCCACCTTATAGATCAAAGTGAGACTGGAAAAGGGTCGCTCCCTTGCCCAGGGTCAGGCAGCCTGAAGCGGATCTGGCCTTCTGCCCCCGGTTCTGCCCAATGGAGAGCACAGGAGCAGGGGCTCTGGACTATCAGGATGGGGTGCGGGTGATGGTGGTGGGAGGGGTCTGGAGTGGGACGTGTGGCTAGGGTCTCTACTCAGGTCCTCGTCTCCAGTTCTGGGTAAGGTGACATCACTGAGTGCCCCCTGCTTAGCAGGGTTGGGCCAGGGGAACCAGTGCATGGGACAGAGGGCCAGGGATATGGTACATCTTTGTGGTCTGGGCCTTTACACCAGCACCTCCCATGCCAAAAATTCCCTGGCAAAAAATAACCCTCTGGCTGTTTTGGGCCCTCCCTTCTGAAGGGGATAGTAGGTGAAGGCACAGTGAGGCTAAGTCCAGGACAGGGAGCACCTAAGAGCCCTACAAGCTGATGTTCAGTGAGGGCCTATGATTAACTCATACCTTACTTGCCACAATCACACAGCTAGAGGGTAGGAGATGGTACCCCTGCCCTTCACCACTGATGGTCCACCCTGCCTCTGGCCAAGCCCTCCTCCGGTGCCCAATCCAAGCTCAGATAAGCCTCACTTTGGCTATGAGGTCTCTCTTTACCATGGGTCAGTGACACAGATAAGGGTTCTACCTGGGACAGAGACTTTGCCTTTAAGCCCATTTTCTCAACTGTAAAATGGGTCCAGACAGCCCCAACCTGGATGTGTGGCTGTGGGGTCCTGCGGGAAGTTAGACCTTACATTTAAATCCTTGCTTTCTTGTGGGGTGGCCTTGGGCGTGTAACTCTATTTTTAATGCGTCTCATCTATACCGTAGAATTAAAGAGCATCCCAGCTAACAAAGTCACCCACCCACTGCCACTGAGTCAGTTCCAACTCACAGCTGCCCCCATAGGGTTTCCAAGGCTGTAAATCTTTACGGAAGGAAAGCCCAAACCAAACCCACTGCTGTGGAGTTGATCCTGACTCACAGTGATCCCCACTGGGTTTCCAAGGCTGTAAATCTTTATAGGAGATTGCCTCATCTTCCTCCCGTGGAGCAGCTGGTGGGTTTGAACCGCCAACTTTCTAGTTAGCAGCCAAGTGCCTTACCCATTATACCACCAGGGCGAAGTCACAGTAAGAATTAAATGAACATCAGATCTTGGCAGAGTTAGTACACATTTGCTACTCACTGTATGAGTTATTACATTTTTCCTTAATTTTTCTACAATAAGACAGTTATTGTTATGCTGTGCTATGCCCTGTTATAAACAGCCACATTATTAACTCCCTGAATCCTAACAGTGGGTCTCAGAGTGTGGTCCCCAAATAAGCATCATCAGTGTCATCTGGGCACTTGTTAAAAACGTACCACCTCAGCCGGGCCCCAGGCCCACCCACCACATCAGCCTCTGAGGGTGAGGCCTGAAGCCCTCCAGGAGAGGATGACGCCGTCGAAGCTGGAGACGCACTCACTGACAACCTCGGGAGGCAGGAGCTATTATTACGCCCGTTGTACAGAGTTGGAAACCGAAGCTCAAAGGGGCTGAGTGGCCTGCTCCAGGTTACCTGACTGCTAAACAGCAGAGGTAGGATTTGAACCCAGGCTGCCTGGTACCAGAGTCTGTACCCAGAGCCCCGGCCCTGGACCCTGCCGATACCAAGCTTGTGTAACATGCAGGGGAATTCTCGATCACTTCAGTGACTGTGAAGCTCTGGTGGCGCAATGCCTAAGGCATTTGACTGTTAACCAGAAGGTTGGAGGTTCAAACCCACCAGCCACTCTGTGGAAGGAAGGTTGGGCTATCTACTTCCATAAAGATTTACTACCTCAAAACTCAGTGGGGGTCACTGTGAGTCAGAATCAACTCAATGGCAGTGAGTTTGAGGTTTGGTAGCATAGTGGCTAAGGCACTTGACTGCTAACCAGAAGGCTGGTGGTTCAAACCCACCAGCCACTCCTCGGAAGGAAGGTTGGGCATTCCTACTTCCGTAGTGATACTGCCTCGGAAACCCAAGGAGGGGTCGCTATGAGTCGGGGCTGACTCGATGGCAAACAACAACAACAACATGGACTCAGAAAATGGTCACTCCTTACCACAGCAGGGTCTGAGTGCAACAAGAGGTCCCCACAGGCACAGCCATTCCTGACCCTTTATTGGGGCTCTGTCAGGCCCAAATAAATATAATACATTAAACTCAGAGCTCAGGGAATCCTGCAGCCCACGAGGCGGCCCCCCCCAGCCCCAGCCAGACCAAATAAGTTAGTGAAGGACCTGCCAAAGGACAGGCCGGTGCCCTGGCTGGGCAGGCAATGCAGCTGGACGCGCACGCTGGTCTAAAGTGCATCTCAGTTCCGTGGTCCCCACATCTGCGTGGCTCCTGGCTAAGCCACTGGGAGGGGCAGGAGGCTCCCGGCGTTCACACTGTGCCAGCAGTGGCTGCCGAGGCTCTGTGTCCATCTGTCCGTCTGGGAGGACGGCTGTGTGGCGGGACTCCCTCAGGAAAAGCTGTCATCAGGCCGAGGCTGGGAGTCGAAGGGAGGGTCTGAGACTGTGATACCTTGATGCAGCTTCTCCAGCGAGAACTTCATCTGGAGGAAGAGGAGGGCAAGTGAGGGTGAGTGCCGATAGGGGAGGGTGCCACCCACCCCAGTTGGCAGCTGAGGAACTGGGGAAGGGACAGAGACCATGCCCCTCGCCAAGGTCACCATGTGAGCAGAGGGGAGCCACAAAGCACCCCACTGAACTTCTCAGACAGCAGCTAGAAGGGGCTTAGTGCATGCCCAGGACCTAGAGGCCTGGGTTTAAAACTCCTGGCTCTGCCACTTACTGGGTAACTATCCTGTAACAAGCCTGGGCCTCAGTGCCCCATCTGAAAAATGGGTCAGTAATAAAGCTGCTTCAAGATCAATCATGGGAGAATAGAAAGGTAGAAGGGCTGTGTATACAGAGGGAGACAGCTCGGGGGGCAGGAAGGCATGGGAGGGAAGGACACAGGGAAGAGGTAACTATGGGGAGGAAGTGGGAGGGGAGCTGTTGCATTGTAGGAAACTGCAGTTAGTGTCATAAGACAAAGTGTATGTGAACTGTTGCACGGAAAATGAATTTTCTCTGTCAACTTACATCCAAATCACAATAAAAATGTAAATAAATAATAAATAAAGCTGCTTCACAGGATTATTTTGGAGACTTGAGGACTGAACTTAGAACCAGCACATAGTAAATGCTCAGTGCACATCAGCTATTGTTTTTATTCACTGCGCAACCTTGGGCAAGTTCCTGAACTACTCACGCCTTGGTGTCCCTATCTAGAAGACAGGGGTAAAACGAGCATTCTCCTCACAGGGTGCTTGTGAGGCTCAAGTTGGTTAGTCACAGTTCAGCACTTCCAACAGCCTAGCTCAAGGTCAGTGCTCAAACCATACATACACAAGTTCATCTATGACGTCAACTCTGAGACAGACGGAAACAATCAGGCTTAATTCCCTCCCCACCCTGTCCTACACAGCACTTCCCACAGCATGACCATCTCCCTCTGAGCAGGATTTCAGGACTCAATGAGGCCCCTAAGTACTGCCCACCCACTGGTGCTGTGGTCAGGGAAGGGTCTGACCCGGTGCCATTTCCACCATCACCTCCAACTTTGATTGTGTTTCTTCCCACAGGAGCCCGGCCAACGCCAGGCATTCCCAGCTCCCCAGCTCCAGACCCCACCTAAGGCACATACTCCAAACCAAAACACAAACTCACGGCCATTGAATCGAATCTGACTCATCACAACCCCCCACTGGGTTTCCAAGGCTGTCAATCTTTACGTAAGCAGACTGCTTCATCTTTCTTCCAGTGGGTTTGAACCACTGACCTTTTGGTTAGCAGCCAAGTGCCGTAACCACTACACCACCAGAGCTCCTTTAGGCACATACTAGGACCCAGCATTTGCCCCACCTGCCCCAGCTGCCATGTGGAGCATACTGGGGAGTGAGGGCATCACTGCATGGTGACATCACACCTATTGAGCACCTACTGTGTGCCTGGCACCAGGCTCACACTAATCATAACAGCAAATACATATAAAGCATTTACTACCTGCCAGGCACTATTCACAGTACCAACCCATTTACTCCTCACAACTGTCTTTGCATAATATCAATTATCCCATATAGGGGGCAGGAAGCTGAGGCCCGAACGGTTACTTGTAAAGGTCACACAAAAGAATCTGAACCTGGCTGTTTGAGTAGGTACTGCCCGTGAGATATAGGGGGGCAAATGGAGAAACCCCCTTTTAGAGACCCCAACATCCTTGGAGAAGCCCTCCTCCATCCTCAAACCACGTGACCTCCTCAGCTGCGTAGAGGAGGAGGGCTGCAAGAACCAAGCTCAGCCCACTCCTGGTGGCCATGACTGGTTCGGGGATGGGCATGTGATGTTAGCAGGGCCAGTAAGAGGAAGTCTTTCCACTGGATGTCAGTCAGGAGGTTCAGGTACCTTTGTCACCGGCAGGGAGAGGACGTCCGAAAACAAACCACCCTGGGGGTAAGCAGAGCCAAGAGATGGGGGAAGAGACCCATTTTCACTACTACTGCGTGGCTAGATCCAGCCATGCCGGAAGTCAGAAGCTCCTGGATTGCTTTCCAGTATATGAGCTTAGATTCTTTTTCTTCCATCCCATGGACTTTTCCAGCAACCCTGTGATGTGGGGACTATAGATGGTTTCCCTATTTTATGGACGAGGAAAATGAGGCCCAGAGGGGAAGGCCGCTGCTGCATCTTGGGTGAGAACCCGGACTCCTCTGCCCGAAGGCCCCGCCCAGCCCTGGCTGAGGCGACCCCCGCACCTCGTCCAGGAGCTCCACGGAGGCCCGCAGGATCTGCCTCCACTTGTGCACCTCCACGCTGTGGAACTGCTTCTGCAGGGCCAGGATCTCCGCCCACTCCGTGGCCGTCTGGGGGAATTTGCTGTGGGAATTGCAGGACCTGAGTGGGGTCTTGGCCTCCCCCAATCTGCTCCAGTCTCTCCAGCCCCTGCCACCTGCCCCCAGGCTCCCCACTTAACTTACCCATTGGCCAGGGCCAGACTGTGCCAGGACTCGAAGGTGTGGGCTGTCCTTTCCAAGGACCAGAGGCGATAAAAGAGGAGGACGTTGAGGGCAATGAGGATGATGAGGCTGGGGGCAGGGACCAGAGGTCAGAGGTCAGAGGTCAGAGGTGAGGAGTCCTGGGATGCTACCACAAGTGGGCACTGATCTCTATACCACCCATACAAGCCTTGAAGGGGGACCATGGTCACACCCCCTTTTCAGAGGACACAAAGACTCAGAGAGGGTGAACGGTATGCCCAGGATCACACAAAGATCAGGGTTCAAACCCAAGCCTGTCCAATGCCCGCACCCTTAACTGCCAGGCAAGGCTGCCTCACTGGGAGAGCCAGGGGGCAGGGGGAGAGGCTGGAGCAGGAGGGGAGACATGAGGGTGAGAGGGGTGCAGATGCAGGGTCCTACCTCACACAGATCCTGAGGCGGCAGCGAGGGGGGAGACAAAGAGACCAGAGCTGCCCAGCCCATCCTAACCTGCCTCCACCCTTCCTTGATCCTGGATCCTGGGCAGCTCCAAGCCAATGGGCTACCCAGCCTCTCCATGGAGAGGAAAGAGGCCCAGAGAGGCTGTGTGGTGGGCCCTCCCCTCCCCTCGCATGGTCTGCTGAGCCCAGGGATCTGGGCTCCACCCTCTCGAACCCTGCTCTCCTAAGCGACTCTCAGGGACTCTCAGGTCTCTGGCTCAGGAATTCTCTCCTCCCCCTTCCCGCCCCACCTGCAGGGCCTGCACAGAAACCTCTGGCCTCCCACAACCCAAGCACTCTACTCTGCCTGGGCTTCCCCATCCCACCCCTGATCACTCTGGTCTGGGGTCAGGTCTGTCTTCCCCCAGGAGGCTGTTGGTCACCCTCAGCATCACCCAGCTCAGGGTCGGGCATGGAATATATGCGTAAAATGTGTAAATGACGTTACTTCCTTCCCGTCCACCTGGCTGATTGCTCATCCTTCGGGTACCCCCTCCTCCGTCAGCCCTCCCTGCCTTCTGCTCTCCCAGGGACAAAGTCTGCTCCAGGACACACTGTGTGAGGAGCATTTCGGGCCCCTCCCAAACGTCCTCTCATTTCCTCTTCACTGTAGGAGGGTCTTATGCTCCCACTGGACAGAGAGGCCCAGAGAGGACAGGCACTGGGCCAAGGCCACACAGCCAGGATACAGACAGAGCCAGGCCTTTCTGACCTCAAAGCCCAGTTCCTCCTCCCCGTCTCTTACTCACACAATGCTGATGAGAACCAGGGCGCTGGGGACACCTGCCCCAGGACCCTGGTCCACGGATGGTTCCGGGAAACGGGAGCTGAGGGAGCCTGTGGGAGAACAGTACGGGGTCAGACAGACATCGCCAGGCCACCCCACCCTGGGCTCTCCCAGCTCCTCTGCCTGCCCCGACTGGGCCCTGACCGAGCGCACCCGAGGTGTGCAAGCCAGGCCGGGTGCAGGGGTCAGGGTCTGGGTGCTGGGGCCCGTCACCATGACCCCTCCAGCTCAGGGGCCTCTTCCGCCTCCGCAGGCCCGACAACAACCCCCGTGCGTCCTTCCCGCCGTCCTCCAGAGACAGCTTCTCAGCCTTGGCCAGCTCCCGCTCTGCAGAGAGAAGACGGCTCTGGATGTCTGCGCCGGGCCGGGCCACACCCATCCCGGTCCAGAATGTCCCCTGCGCTGGCTTCTGCCTCCTACCCAAGTGGTGAAAATAGTCCTCAATGCCGCTCCATGAGTTCTTCTCAATGAGGGACTTCACGAGGCTCCATGGCTGCTTTCGGTAGCGGATCTCAGAGGAGACTCTGGGGTTGAGGGGGCAGGGGAAGGTAGAGGGCTTAGGATCTGACCCCAGCCCCTGCTGGTCCTCAGGCAGGTTCTCCCCTTCCCTTCACGGAGAGGGTCCTCTTCTCACTCACTCACTCACAGAGAAAACAGACACCTCAAGCCCCCTGCCAGGGTTTCTCTGTGACCCCCACTCATCCCAAATGGTGGCCAGTCTCCTGGCTTTAAGGCCTGCCTTAGCACTGTCCACTGAAGTTGGGGGCAAGGTCTGGACTAGGGTATCAGTTTGTAAGGAAGTCAGTGCTACGCGTGGGGATCTGAGAGGTAACTCAACACATCAAAACTGAGCTCCTGGTCTTCCCCCAAATCTACTCCTCCTCACCTTCCCCTTTCAGTCAATGACAGCGCCCTCCTTCCAGTGGCTCAGGCCAAATGCCTCAGGGTCTTCCTTGACCCTTCTTGTGTTCTCATACCCACATCCAACCTGTCAGCAAACACTGATGACGTGGCCGACGAGATCTATCCAGAATCTAAACTCTTCTCCCCTCCACTGCCCCTGGTCTCCCTGCTCCTGCCCTTGTCCCTCACAGTCTGTTCCCCCCACACAGTCAGAGGGAGCCTGTGAACTCCCAAGTCAGATTAGGGCCCTTCTTGGCTCAGAGACCTTGTGGGGTTGAGCTTATCCAAAATGGGTCCTGCCCGCAAAGGACTCTGGGATTGAGCAAGAGTGACCGGCCAGACAGTGGCTCCAGAATTAGGCAAAGACATTAACAGACTCCCCTCTCTTCCCCCCTCCCCCTGGAGCTAAGATTCAAGGTGGGAATCAACACCGTCCTCTGTATGTAGGACACACAGCAGCCCCTGAGCTGTCAGTCTGATACACTGGCTTTTACTACCTCTTTAAACCGAACCTTTCCAAGGATGGTTTGAGACTGCTTCACTGCCGTGACTGCTGGCTGCACCTCACTCCAGGTCACAGCCGAAGCTCTCACCAGGGCCCACGTGGCCCTGCACGATCTGGCCTGTAACTTCCCTAACGCCACTTACGCTTCCCCTCACTGCTCCACTCCTGCCATGCCTCCTTCCCACGCTCCTGCCTCAGGGCCATTGCACTGGCTGTTCCACATGAACGACTCCCCTATGATCTTCAAGTTCATGATGAGATACCCCGTGACCACGTGATTCGGAGCAGAACCCACCTCTGACCCAGCCCTCGCACTCTTCATTCTGCTGTTTTTCTCCATTAAGTGTTTGTTTATTACCCAATTCAGCACCAGATATGAGGTCCCTAAGAAAGGGGGTTCTGTCTAGTTTTGCTGAATCTCTAGTGCCTGGAACGGTGCTAGGCTCATAGCACAGCTGTTCACTTGCATATTCAGTCACCTCTGGCAGCTCCAGCCCTCTCTGCAGACAGGACCCTGTTCTATGGGAGTGCCGCCTTGTCCACACTCTCCTATTCAGAGTTCAGGGGTCTCAGAGACCTTCTTCGGCTCCTCTGCTGGGGTGGGAACCAAGTTCAGGGGCTGACTTGGGATAGAAGGGTAGGGCAGGGGCCCTGAGGCCAGCAGGATGTCAGGGTGGAGGGACCGGGCCACTGCTCACCGGAGGCGGGCCTTGTTCCGGGCAAGGCCCAGGATGCAGTAACGGTGGGCAGTGTAGAAGTAGTCCTGGTAAGGGATGCCTTGTGTCAGCACCTCCGAGTCCACCACACACCCGCCTGCCTGTGGACCACGCCGGAACAGTGTCTGAAGGGACAAGGGAGGAGGCGGGAGGTCAGAGCCCACCCCACTGGGCCACCACCACCCTCCAACAGCCACCCACCCAGCCCACCTGTGTCTCCACCACAGAAGCGCTCTTAGGGCCCAGTGGGTTGCTGATGGGAATGGTGTAAGTCAACACTCGGCGCTGATGGCTCTTGCTGTCCCCACTCCAGGGACTCAAGGTCACATCTGGGGGACGGAGAAACAGAATGATGAGCCCATTCTTCAGTTCTTTGGCCACAAGTCGTAGGAGGCTTGGCCTTTTTGGAGGTTCCAGTTTTCTGGGAACTTAACCCAAACCTGTGCCATTCTCTCTGGGCACCTAAGACTAGATGCTGGGGTGCTATGAGCTGGGACCTCTCTCCTCCTCTGACTCCACATCCCCCCTGGGGCCATCTCATCCAGTCCTGAAGCCCCAGTTTCCCTCTGCCCAGCTCTGGCTTCTCCCCTAAGCCTCAGACCTAAGATCCTGCACTCAACACTTCGCCATTGCTGTCCCCCGAGTCCCTGACTCCTACTGGGCCCCACACCGGCCTCAGCATCTCCCTTAAACCTGCCCTTCCTCCTGGTCCTCATCTCAAAGTTGGCCCCATGTGGTGGTTAAGTTTGTGTGTCAACTTGGCTGGGCCTAGTTGAGTGGCTGGGCAGCTGGATGTAGTTACTCCCCAGGATGAGACTGGTAATCAACTCCATGGTGGGATCTACCGTGAGCAGCAGTAGCTGCCCTAGGGATGTGGTCTGCTTCTTGTATATAAGGAGAAGCCTTGGGGAACAGTCTCTAGTTTAGGGCACCTAGGACCCTGCATGTAGCTGTGTCATTGTTCAGCAGCCTGCCATGCTCTGCTGACCTTGGGACTTTCAATGGACTTGAATTAATGGCCTGCTGTGTGATTTGGTAACATTGAGACTGTGCCTTTTTACTTGTCAACCTTGAGCTTGTCAGCCTCAGCAGCCAGCAGCTGAGTGAAGAAAAGCTTCTAGCTCCAGTGGGCTGGGACCAGGAGACAGAGCTGAAGCCCAAGGTTGAGGGGCTTTCACCCAGCCCCTAGAGCCTGGCACTTTGAACTTGGACTTAAAGCCTCCAAACTTTAAGAGAATAAACTCCTGTTTGTTAAGGCCATCCATCTGTGGTATATTCCTGTCAGAGCGGCACTAGGTAACCAGAACACCCCACCATCCCTGAGTCTCCTAGCAGAGCCTTGGGCACCGCCCTGCACACCTTCCTCCCCAAACACTCAGTCTCCTGAGTAGCACTCCTGGCTCAGCCCAGCCCAGCCTATCTAGTCCTCTCCCCAGCCTCCCCCTAGGTTCCCGGCCTCCATCTCACCTCTGTTCCAGGGGTGTCTTCCTACAGCCAAACCTGACCCCTTCCCTACCCAGCACACTCCATCAATCGCCAATATTCCCAGGACAAAGTCCGAGCTCCCCAGCTGGCTGCACGAGCCCCTCCAGGGCATAAGCATCCATTTGAGAGACTCGTAGTCCCTTAAGTCAAGGCACAGTCCTAGTGATGCTGTAGGGGTTCTACATGGCTCGTTTTTACCAATACAGGAGAAAGACACAAAGACAATCCATCACTTCACTAGCCTCTCTCGTCCCTAAATCTCTTCCACAGCCTCCCGAGCGCCTCAGCCGGTCCCACAGTGACACCTGCAGCCTCACCTGCTGCTGCGCCTGCCCCTCTCCATACCCGGCCTCAGGAGCCCAGCCACAAAAGATGCTCAGTGCCTGGGTCCAGCCTCAGGGCCTCTGCAGATATGATGCCTGCCCCCAGATTCCTCTTCTCTGCCCCCTCCCTTTTACTGGGCTAACCTTGTTCCTCCTTCAGCAGTTTTCCCTATCCGCCTCAGCTCACAGATGTCCCCTTTGACACTCCCAGCCCTTGTGCTGCTTTTATATACATCATACCTGTCATGGATGGTACCTGGCTGTGTCATTAACATTTCCTCTGGGGGCATAGTGGGTAAGGCATTTGGCTATTAACCAGAAAGTTGGTGGTTCAAACCCACCAGCTGTTCTGTGGGAGGAGCATGAGCTAATCTACTTCCGTAAAGATTTACAGCCTTAGAAACCCAATGGGGGTCGCTGTGAGTCAGAATCAACTTGATGGCAGTGGGCTTAGTTTTTTGGTTTGGTCATTCTTAGCAGACACTGAGCGCTGAGGACAAGAACCTGTCCGTCCTGGTCTCTCTTAGTCCCCCAATCCCTGCCTGGGCCTCACACCAAAAAAAGCCAAACCCATTGCCATCGAGTCAATTCTGACTTAGCGACCCCCACTGGGTTTCTGAGGCTGTACATCTTGACAGTAGATCGCCTGTCTTCCTTCCGCAGAGCAGCTGGTGGGGCAGTCCGTGCTAACTAATGTCTGACTGTTAACTCACGCTTATTAAGCACTTACTGTATGCCACTGTCCTAGGCACTTTTTTTTTTTTTTTTGGCATTAACTTGTTTAGTTCTCACAAGGACTCGATGAGGCAGGCCCTCTGATCATACCCCCATTCTACAGAAGAGGAAACTAAGGCACAGAGTAGTTCAGAAAGCTGCCTAAGGCCACTCAGCTGGGAGCTCTGGTGGTATAGTGCCTAAAGCATTTGATTGATAACCAGAAGGCCGACAGTTCAAACCCACCAGCTACTCCTCAGAAGGAAGGTTGGGCAATTTACTTCCGTAGTGATACCACCTGGGAAACCCAAGGAGGGGTCGCTATGAATGGATCCGACTCCACAGCAGTGCATTGCGTTGCCCTGCCCTCCCCCTCCCCCCTGCCCACCTGTGAACTTGCACTGTTGCAGGAAGCCCTGCAGAAAGGGCGAATCAGAGAAGAGCATCTGCTGGAGCCGGTCAGCACCCACGTGGAAGACGGAGTTGATCAGGAGACGGCCAGAGAGGTCAGGAAGCAGGGCAGCCAGGTCAGCTGGGAGACAGAGGGGGTGCCCGTGATGTTGGCCTCCATTCCCTCCCCTCACAGCTGCGCCCTCGTTTTTTCCCTGGAGGCCACCCCTCCTCATTCCCAGGCTTTGTGTGGAGGGCGCACACCCATCTTCCTAAACCAGAACAGACAGTGCCACAGAGCACTAATCCACCCTCTTTGCCACAGGGATTAGTTCAGGGTGGGCATGTGCCCCAGACCTGGCCAATCAGAGCCACCATGATTGTTTAGGGTGGTGCGCACACCCAGCCCAGCCACTTGTAACCAGTGATTACAGTGTGGGCATGTGCTCCCAGGCCAGGCCAATCAACCACAGTGACTGGTTCAGGGGTGGGCTTTGCTCCAAGTTGGACCAATCAGTGCTAACCTCAGGGCTTTTGAGGCAAACGCTTTACATGTATCAACCAGTTTAACTGTCAATAACTGTATGAGGTGGGTACTATTATTAAGTATTATTATTAAGCCAGTTTTTCAGATGAGTAAAACAAGTCTCGTCGTTGTTGTTGTTGTTATGTGCCATCGAGTCAGCCCTGACTCATAGCAACCCCTCCTTGGGTTTCCGAGGCAGTATCACTACGGAAGTAGGATTGCCCAACCTTCCTTCCGAGGAGTGGCTGATGGGTTTGAACCGCCAGCCTTCTGGTTAGCAGTCTCAGTAAGGTTAAAGAACTTGTCTAAACTAAGTTCACAGCTAGGAAGTGGTGTGGCGAGGATTTGAACCCTGGTGACCTGGCTCCAGGGTCTGTGTTCTTATCTACCCCACCATGTCATCATCAAAGCAGAACCAAGAGACAGACAGATTTCTAACAATAGTTTGAATGCCCGGACTGAGTCATGCCTGCCTACCCCTCAATGGTCTAGTCCCATGAACCAACCAAGCCCTTCCAGCTTCAGTCCATCCGAGTCAGGTGTGTTTAACGGAAGTGAATGAACCAGGGGCCTGTCTGCCTCACCTTCCTCCCCAGTGGATGAAGAGGAGTTACTCGTGTCCGTCAACAGCTCCTCACTGGGCAGCAGGTCCAAGGGGCCCAAGGAGGTGGGCCCATCTGGCAGGGTGGGCTCTGTGCTTGGGGGGTCAGCCACTGGGGCCACCGTCTGGCTGGGGGAGGCATCTGGCTGGCTGGCTGACTGCTCCTCCTTCTCCTCCTCTGCCTGCAGGGAAAGGTCGAATGTAGCCTTGCCTCTCCTCACCCAGCCCGAGGGCCTCCACAGGGCCACAGGAGCCACCAGAGACACAAGGAAGCATTCAGACCTCAGGCAGGAAAACCAAGGCTGGGGGCTGGAGCAGAGCGTGCGTATCTAGGTCTTACAGCTGAGGTGTGAGGTGCTCTGGGGCCATAAACCTTCTTTCCTTTCCCCCACACCCCACCAATCTGTCTCCTCCCGTATCCACTGTCCATGTCTTGCACCCTTCGCTCTACCTCTCCATCTAGCTGTCTGTCCCCCACTTGACCATCTCCTTCCCTGTCTCTGGCTATTTCCATCACCCATCCTTCCATGTCTGCCCCAGCCCTCCATCCGTCTCGTCCCTGCCTCTGTCCATCCACTCCCCTGTCCTGTCATCCCTGCCCCATCCATTAGTCCATCCCCCTGTCTACGTTCCTGCTCTGTCAATCTGTCCCACTCTCCGACCCCACCCCAGCCTTCCTCCGTCTCTCCCCATCCATACCCTCCTCTTTCCTCCTCACCCCATGGTCCGCATCACTGCTGGCCCGGGAAAGGTTGGGAGTGGTGTGGCCGCGGCGAGAACCCACTGGGCTCGGCTCCTGGCTGTGGTCTGCTGCCCCTGAGGGGGTGATGTCACTCAGGGCGATCACTTCTCCCACCTCCTTGGGGCTCCTGCGTGGACAAGGAGAAACTGGGACTGCTACTCAAGTGACCTTGGGACCCACACACCCTCCTGGATCTCCCAGACTGCAGACAACCACCTCAGTCCACCCTGGACTCCAGGAACTTGTCACACAGCCCATCCTGCTCTCCCCAACCCCAGGAACCACCCCCAACCTCTGACTCACCCCAGACCGTTCAGCTGCAGGGGGCAGACATAGTCCTCATCCTCGCTGGTGAGGCCCAGCTCTGAGCCGTAGCACTGATGCACCAGGTGCCAGAGCTCGCGGGGACTCAGCGTCTGGGCAGGCAGACATCACGTTGGCCTCCACCTCACTAGGGCCAGAGCTCTTCCCACCTGTGCCCCTACCAGCCCTCAGCCTCAGCAGTTCCTTTGGTTTCCACAAGGGGGCAGCCATGATCTCCAGTACCAGACCTCTCCAACAAGCTCCTGACTCTCTCCATAAGAGGACACTCAGTTCCATCTCTTCCAGGCTCCAGGCTCCAGGCTCCAGGCTCTGTTCTCATCACTTTACATGCCCAAGCTAACATTCCCATTTTTACAGAGGAGAACATGGAGGCCCAGAGTGGCAGTCATGTGACCAGAGGCAACTCTGGGATCCACCCCCAGCCACGCTCCAGAGCCCACGCTCCTCTCTGTGCCGGCTGCCCCTCAACTGCTTTCTCTGGGGCCCTCAGAAGTCCTGGGACTTCATGCACCCACAGCCACAGCAGGGCAATGACAACGATGATAAAGTAATAATAATAGTGACAGCAGTAGTTGCAGCAGCAGCCAAGATTGACCGTGTTGTTACGTGTACCCGGCACTCCGCCAGCCCTTTACTTGTGCTAATTCACTGGATCTTCAAAACAATTTGTAAAGTCAGTGCCGATATTAACAGCATTTAAAGATGCTGCGCTGGGGCACAGGTGTGGTAACAGCCTCAGTCACTAAACCAGGGATGGATCGCTGAGAGGATCCCAGGGTGAGGTGGGGCTGGTCTAGAGCCCTGGAATTAACCACGGGTTTGTCAGCGTTTCTGAGCACTTATTCCAGGCCCAGCTTGGGTGCTATGAAGTAGGCGTGGTCCAGTGGTTATTCCCATCTGACAGGGTTCACTGACTTGCCCCAGGCCGCTTAGCGGCTCAGGGGTGGGGCTGAACGTGAACCTGGCAGTCTGGCTCCAGGGCCTGTTTTAAAAGCCCTCTTCAGGACTCTGGCTCTGCACTGGCCTTCCCCTGGCTCAGGAGTGGGATCCCCAGTACTCTTCCCCTGAGAGAGGCCACAGCTGGAGCTGACCAGGGGGGCCAAGCGCTCCTGAGAGGGTGGGACACTGAGCACAGCACAGCTGGAGGTGGGTTTGCGCTGCGAAAGTGCCACCAACAGCAGACAGTGATGTCACTCAGCAGTGGTCTATCCTCCCTCCCTGCCAGCAGAAACCTATTCTGTTGGGGGTGATAATCTCCCCCAACCCCAGGGATGAATTATGTCCAGTTTATGACAATTCATCTTTCCTTTGTCAGACACTTAGCCTCCTTTGAAACTGAAAGAGGTCACCTGACCTAGTTGTAACAAAAGAGATGGAAACAGAAGTCGGCTGAGGAGGCTTTCCATCTCTGACAAAAGCAAAGTTCTCTTTCCTTTTCTGCTCTCATGTCTGGCTTACTTATGTGAAGGCATGACGCCTGGAGCGGCAGCAACCGTCTTGTGACCAGGAAGAAACAAGGACACGGACAAAACACCAACATGCAAAGGGTGACAGCCACCAAACCCACCCTAGACCACTTATTTCCAGACGCCCTATTACATGAGAGACAGTGAGGTACGATGATTAAGGGGGTGCAGTCCAGAGCCTGACTGCATGGGCTGGAACCCCCACTCTGCCATGTAAAAGCCCATGTGACCATGGGCAAGTTTATTCTTATATGCCTCATTGGTAAAACACAGATTAAAAACCACACGCCATACACGGTAATAGTGAAGAGTAAGTGGATATGGACCAAGGATTCCCAAGGGTTCCCTAGATCCTTTCAGGGGGTCCACAAGGTCAAAACTGTTTCCTGAGTAGGATCTCTGGTAGCATAGTGCCTAAGGCATTTGACTGCTAACCAGAAGGCTGGCAGTTCAAACCCACCAGCTACTCCTTGGAAGGCAGATGGGGCAATCTACTTTCATAGTGATACTGCCTCAGAAACCCAAGGAAGGATCGCTATGAGTCGGGAGCAACTTGACAGCACACAACAACAAGTATTTGTAAGTTTTACTAGTATTATAAAAAGGAGCTCTGGTGGTATAGTGGTTAAGGCATTTGACTGCTAAGTAAAAGGTTGGTGGTTTGAACCCACAAGCTACTCCATGGAAGAAAGATGAGGCGGTCTGTTTCCGTAAAGATTTACAATCTTGGAAGCCCTATGAGGGTCTGTATGAGTCAGAATTGGCTGCAAAATGTGATTTGCCTTTTGCTTCTCCATCTCTCATGAGCAGACAGAGGAGCTTTCCAGAAGGAGCATGATGGGCAACAGTGTCACTGCTCAGGTGGCCAACGCAGTATGTGCTTGCCTGTCCCGTTTCAATTTCTAATTCAGCAAATACCAACAGAAAGATCCCACTTATGCCAAAGCTCTTGGGGTCTACAACAACTTTAAAGAGTGTGAAGGTGTCCTGTGACTGAAGTTGGAGAGCCACCGGTCCATTCCACAGTGGATAATGTAACTTTGTACTTCATTACATATGTAAGTGCACCCCAATCATACACATAATTATTTCTGCAGTTAAATGAATGAATAGCCACATTAACATAAAGATCTGTTACATGTAGGCATTTAAAATTAATTAAAAGGACACCTTCCATCACACTAGCCACATTCAAGTGCTCAGTAGGCACCTGAGGCTAGTGGCCACCATATTGGACAGCACAGATAGAAAATATTCCCATCAGAGACAAACACTCTATTAGACGGTGCTGATGTGACTAGAAATAACCACGTCAGCACAGGTCCGATTTTGCTGCCAAACGTTACAAAGCCTCCTCGTTTTCAGAGCAGTTTGGATTGGCAGGTGGTGAGGTACAGGCAGAGCATATACATTGCTTGGGGGCAGGGTCTGGCCCTGGAGCCCTTGTTGACCGCCGGCGGGGCCTACAGGGAGCAGCAGGTACTTTGGGTTGGTGCCCGCTGGGAAGAGATATGAACTTCCTCCCCTGCTCCCCGAGTCCTAGCACACCTGGATCCATGGGCCCACCCCACTCCCCACCCGCCCTGCTCTGGCCTCACCCAAGCCCACCTTTTCAAGTAGCGCATTCTGCCAGAGGCGGAAGATGAGGAGGAAGCAGCGGTCGCGGGCCCCGAAGGAGGTGAAGAAATGCTGTAGGGGAGAGGGGTGTGAGTGGGGTGGAGGGAGAGAGAAGGACACAGACTGGGGAGCCCATCCTCCTCCACACTGTCCGCTGTGCCCCCATCTCTACCCCGAGGTATGTATTCATTCATTTATTCACTCATTCCACAAAATGTATATTCTGGGCTCGGTCCTGTGCCAAGCGATGCCGGGGTCACCATAGTGAAGAGACTGCCCCAGGCCCCGCCCTCAAGGAACTTACAGTCCAGGGAGGGAGAGAGACACAGCTCCAGACAGGGACAGCCCAGAGTTGTGGTGGAGGAAGCACTGTGAAGACGGAGGCCCACAGCCCCTTCCCTGCCTCCTTTGCCCCTAGGAATGGTCAACTGACCCACTCTGGGCCAGCAAAACACAAAGGGAAGTCTGTTGTGAAGTCTTTCCCACTACTTCCTTCCTTCTTCCTGTTTGCACTGCCAGTGTGAGGCAGCCATCTTGTGACCATGAGGCAGCAATCAGGAGGCCATGGAGGGAAGGCTTCCAGGGGAGTGGCCATCTGAACCGATGGATACACAGAAGGGAAGACTCTCTATTATGATCCTTGTAAAGCTGTGTGAGGGGATGAGTTGCAGGGATCGAGACGGGAGGTATAGGGAACCAGGTGAGAGATGATGGGAGCCTGGGTCAGGGCAGGGCCTTGGTGAATAAAGAGAAAGTGACAGATCTGAGAGCGCTCAGGATGCAGAATAAACAGGGTGTGCCCTGACTGGCTTCGGGGGATTTCTGCTAAATTGGCGTGGCAGTTAAGGTTATGTGTCCACTGGGCTGGGCCTGGTTGAGTGGCTGGGCAGCTGGTGGTAGTTATTCCCCATGATGAGACTGGCAATCAATTCCATGGTGGAATCTGCCGTGAGCAGCTGAGTAGCTGCCTTAGGGCTGTGGTCTGCTTCTAGTGCATAAGGAGAAGCTTTGGGAATGGTCTGGAGCTTCATGGCACACTTGGACCCTGCATGCAGCTGAGTCTTCATTTAGCAGCCTGCCATGTTTCTTGTCAATCTTGGGACTATCTCTGGACTTGAACTAGTGACCTGCCATGTTGTTTGGTAACACTGAGATTGTGCCATTTTATTTGTCCACCTTGGGCTTGTCAGGCTCAGCAGCCAGCAGCTGCCGGAGTGAAGAGACACCTCTAGCTCCCATGGGCCAGAAGCAAGAGGCAGAGCTGAAGCCCAAGGTCGAGGGGCTTTCACCCTAGAGCCGGCACTTTGAATGGTGACTCTGAGCCTCCAAAACTATAACACAATAAACTCCTGTTTGTTAAACCACCCACCTGTGGTATTTCTGTTAGAGTGGCACAAAGTATCCCTTGTGATTAGGTCCCTCGACTCACCTTCTCACTCTCTGTGCAGATCTGGATGGCATTGGGGATCAGCTTGGCTGTCTTCTCCTTCTTCAGACATGTCACTTCCTTCAGCTGGATGGAAATCTGAGGACAAAACGCAAATGTGCGTCAGAAGGGGCCTGAGACCTCCTTACCCCCAGGCCTCACCTCGGCCCCTGCTCCAGCTCACCGTCGTCTCCCAGCGGAAGATGTTGCTATAAAAGCAGATCCAGTTCTCGGAGAGATAGAGGCGGCCCTGAAGGAGGATCTCGCGCTGCAGAGCACAGGAGTAATCTGAGAGCAGCCGATGGGAGAGACAGGCAGACACCCGAGTCACACGGCTATCCTGGCCGGCACACAGGCCGGGGAAAGAGTTGGGAGGGCAGAGCTAGGAACTCAGGGTCAGGGGTCCCGGTCAGAAATGTGAGGGCTCACCCACAATGAGGCGTTCAGCTTCCGGGAGCTTGCTGAAGAGTTTCCGGAAGTCTTCGTTACGCTGTTTGTACGTGGGGCTCAGCATCTGAGGAAAGTTGGGGAGGTGAAGACCTGCTCGGGGGCTTAGAGCCCCCATTCTGCCCCATAAAGCTCCCCGAACCCTCCAGTCTCCTCTGCCGCCAACAGGCTCTCTGAGGTTTCAGTAAGTAGCCCACCTCTGGCTTTTGCTGCCCATAACCACCACCATAGTAACCCTACTGAGAGCCACCATTCACTGATTTCTTACACAGACTGGGTCCTGTGCCTGATACCCACCAGCGCTGATTCCCACTGATTGCTCCCTTCAGTCTTGTAAGGTCAGGACTGTTTCTTAAGGAGAATGAACGAGCCCAAAGGAGGTGAAGCAACTCACTCAAGATCATGCAGCAGGTAAATGACAGCACAGGTTATCAACCTAGGTCTGCTGCCTCCAGCACCCACACCCACCCGCCCAGCAAGCTCCCTTGCCTGGACACTTACACTGTACCAACTCTGCATCTTCTGCAAGAGAAAAGAGAGGAGTCAGGACGAGCCGCCGGGTCCCCCTGCCACCGCTCTCCCTCCCCTACGTGGGCTTGGACCAACCTTGCTGTTGCGGATGAAGTTCCGGCCGCCTGTGCTCTGGGTGCTCGGGGTCCCAGGTACCATGCCCCTCTCCGAGGAGCTGTCTGACCCCTTCTCCACCATGGTGCCTGGTTCAGGCTCAGGTGGGGGCCGGCTTGGGGGCAGGAGTTGCAGCCGTTTCCGGAGGGACGGGGAACTGCTGGGTGTGCTCCGGCCAGAGTGGGGGGTGGTGCTGGGAGGGAAGAGGAAGGAGGGCATCATGGGTAAGAGCAAGTGGGGTCACAGGAACAGGCCCTATTTTAGGAAAGCCGACCATCAGCGCATTGATTCTCATCCACCCCAGCCATCTGCCCAAATATCCATCTACTCATCCACCCACACACCTAATGCAATCACCCATCCATCCGTCCGTCCATCCATCCATCCGTCCATCCATCCATCCACCCACCCACCCAACACACCTACCCAACCATCCATCCACCCACCCACCCACCCACCCACCCACCTCACTCCACTGCCTAATCATGCTTCCTAACCTCTCTGTGCCTCGATTGCCTCATCTATTACCCAGAGATGAAAACTAACTATTTCATCTGGACTTTTTGAGGGTTAAATGAATCCACAACATGTAAAGTACTTCTAACAGTGCCTGGTACACAGCATGCTTTCAATAATGCCCACTATATATTTTTTTTAACTCATTAATTCATTCATACAACAAATCTTCATTGAGTAGCTACTAGTCACTCTGTTGCCTAAGCCAAAAACCTAAGCATCTTTCTGAAGAAATGAATTTCTTTCTTTTCCTCACCCTTCCTGTCTAATCTTTCAGCAAGTCCTGCCAGCTCCACGTCCAAAATCCATTTCCATTAGAGCCCCTTCTCTGCTTCCACTGCTCCCAACCCAGGCCAGCCCCATGCTCTCTGGCCCGGACCGTCACAGCTGCCTCCTCCTTGGTCTCCCTGCTCCTCTCCCTGCCCCAGCGGCCTGTGTCCTACACACGGCCAGCAGGAGCCCGTGGACTCCCTGGTCACATCAGGGCCCTCCTCAGCTCACAGCTCTCCCTTTCTTCTCCAGCTGCACCACTCTCCAGCTAAGAGATAAAGTCCTCACCATGGCCACCAAGGCCCTAGTGGTCTCCCTGACCTCAGGCCCTTGCCCTCCCCGTCACTCTCGCCACTCCAGCCCTCCTGGCCTCCTCCTGTCCCTAGAGCTCACCAACTTCATTTCCACGTCAGCTGTCCACCCCCACCCCCCCTGCCTGGAATGCCCTCCTGAAGCTCCATCAATGGGCTCTGTCCTACCGATCAAATGCTCCTCCTGCCCTGGCCCCAGCCGAACATGCTCCCTTCCTGTCACATTTCACACTATCTGAATTCCTCCTGTTCATGCCCCAGACCAGGAGGTCTTGCTTGCCCCTGTGTCCCCAGCACCCCAAACCATACCTGGCACATCAGTGACCACTCAATAAACACTGGTGACTAAATGAGTAACTTGGGCACTGGCTGGAGGTCGTGCTGAGCAGAGACTATCAGACATGGTTCCTGCCCTCAGGAACTAACCTAACTACAAACATGACTGCATAAACAGAAACTGTAATATGGGCTGAAGGGATAAGTATGGGGCGCTTCAATCAGGGACATGCACTGCTGACTCTCTGTGGCAAGCTCTCCATACGATTAACTTCATCAGTCCTCAAACAATTCTGTGTGTTTGATACTATTACTAACCCCCCTTTATAGAGCAGGAAGCTGAGGCGAAGGTGAACCTGCCTGCCCAACGACGTATGTACGGCTGGTATATTTCAGCCTTGATCGAGTCTAAGTTGAGCCACCCAGGGCTCCCTAAACTTGTTTCACAGCAGAAAAGACTTGGCGATCTGTTTACACAAAGATTACTGCAAGGAAACCCCTAGAGCTAACAGATGAATTTAGCCTTTCAACAAACAAAAACCAGTAAGGTTTCTATCCACCATCAATAAGAAATCTGAAAAGGAAATCAAGGACACAATTCCATTTACTAGCATCTAAGAGAATAAAATACCGAGGAATAAATCTAACCAGGAGCTTGAAGGACTTATACAATGAAAATTATAAAACACTACTCAAAGAGATTAAAGAAAAAAACCAAACTCACTGCTGTTGATTCCATTCGACTCACAGTGACCCCCTCCTTGAGTTTCCAAGGTGGTATCTCTATGGAAAGTAGACTGCCCAATCTTCCTCTCGAAGAGTGGCTGGTGGGTTTGAACCACCAGCCTTCTGGTTAGCAGTCAATGCCTTAGGCACTACACCACCAGAGCTCCTATGTTCATAGATTGGAAGACTTAATCTTGTTAAGATGTCAACACTACTCAAAGTGGTCTATAGATTCAATGCAATCCCAGTCAAGTATTCAACAGCCTTCTTTACAAAAATGGAAAAATCAATCCTCAACTGTATATGGAATAGCTAAAGCAGTGTTGAAAGAGAAGAACAAAGTAGGAGGCCACACTTCCCGATTTTAAAACATACTCTCACAGCTGCAGTACACAAAACAGCCTGGAACTGTTGTAACAACAGACACATAGACCAATGAGCAGTGGTTAAAGTATTTGATTGCTAACCAAAAGATCAGCAGTTCAAGCCCACCAGCCACCCAGTGGGAGAAAGATGAGGCAGTCTGCTTCCATAAAGATTTACAGCCTTGGAAACCCGATGGGGCAGATCTATTTTGTCCTATGGAGTCACTATGAATTGTAATTGACTCAATGGCAGTGGGTGAGTGGCTACAGAAATAAGCCCACACATCTGTGGTTAACTGATTTTTAACAAAGGTGTTAAGTCCATTTGATAGAGAGAGAAGAGTCTTCAGTAAATGATGCTGGGACAAATGGATTTCCACATGCAGAAAATTAAACAGGGTCCATGCCTCATACCATAGAGAAAACAAATTCAAAATGGATTAAGGATCTAAATATGTATACTAAAGCCATAAAATTCTTAGAGGAAACTGCAGGGGCAACGGGCCTAACTTTCAGCAGTGGATTAGCTAATATAATAACAAAAGCACAAACAGCTTGAACAAAAGAAATGGGAGCTCATAAATACTAAAAACCTTTGCTCATCTAAAGATTTTACAAAAAACATACGAAGAGAAGCTACAGACTGGGAGAACATTTTCAGAAACCATATATCCGATAAAAATCTAATAACCATAACATATGTAAAACTTCAACAACTTAACAACAAAAAGGCCAATAACCCAATCATAAAATGGGCAAAGGACTTGTATAGACATTTCACCAACGAGGACATTCAAATGGCCACCAAACACATGGAAAAATGGTCAACATCATTAGCCATCAGAGATGCGAATCAAAGCCAGAAGGAGACACCATTCCACTCTCACTAGGATGGCTAAGATTTAAACAAAGAAAGGAACAAATGTTGGTGAGAATGTGGGGAAATTGGAACCTTTATCCATGGCTGGTGGGAATGCAAAATGGTACAGCCATTGTGGAAAATAAAGTGGTTTGTCCTCAAAAAACTAAAAACAGAATGATCACATGGTTGAAGGGCCAGAGAAGAGAAGACTTTTTGCTGAGAAACTGCAGAAATATAACAAGTTAACAGCTGTGATCATGGTAGACATGAATCACAGTGATTAACGTTCTCTCTTTCTTTCCTCCCTCCTTCCTTCTACGTAATTAAGAAGTTAGTCACTTTAGGGCTGTCTTCTTTCCTGACACATCCCTTTGAGCATATGGCTTAAACCCACTGCCCATTTGTAGCTGATAATTGCGGTTTATGGAGCTAGATGGCCCTGAGAAAAAACACACCAGCCTGGAGTAACCAAGATAAAGACGAAACAGGGACATCCCAGGCGGACCCAAACTCCCACGTTTCCCCTCCTCTAGAGTTAATCTTTCCAGAGAAGTACGAAGAGTTTGCAAAACAATGCTGACCAAGGCCAGTTTTATATCACTGACCAGAACAATAAAAGAAAGTTCACAAGAAGAGATGCCATTACAAGCATTCCTCAAACCTTCCTAACCCCTTAGCTCAATTCCCTTTAAAACCCCTAACCTTTCCTTAGCTTGAGGAGATAGACTTTTTAAGAGAAAGGGTTCTCTCTGAATCTCTGGGTATTGATACTCAACAAACTCTTTTGTTTTGACCTGTTGTGATCATTGAGGGAGGTAAGGACCTTGTTGTTCCTACAACAGCATGAGTCAGCAAATCCACTCTCCTAGGTAGGAGAAAGACTTGAAAGCAGAGACTTGTACAACAACGTTCACTGCACTATTCACAATAGCCAAAAGGTGGAAACATCAACAGATGAATGGACAAACAAAATGTGGCACATCATACAATAGAATACTGCTCAGCCAGCAGGCGAAATGAAGTCTTAGAATACAGCTGTAACTTGAAGACATTATGCTGAGTGAAATAAATACGTAAACCACAGAAGAGCAAATATGTATGAACTCACTTATATAAAAAGACCAGAAAAGGCAAATGTATAAAGACCAAAGTTTATTAGTAGTTAGCAGAAGCGGGGGTGGGGTGGGGGTGTGTGTGTAACAGTGATGGAAAAATTGCATTGATTACAGGTAGAGTTGCACAGGTGATAATTGTAATTGCTGTCAATAAGCTGGACACCTATAAAAAGCTGCACTGGCAAAAGTTGTGTGATAGATATATTTACAACAACAACCCCCCCACACACACAAAAAAAGTGTAGCTACTGAAGCTGCTTATGTACACCCAAAAATCTCATAGGATTAGATTTCCTTGTTTGGAAGTTTAGGGTCATGGTTTCATGGGTCATCCCAGTTAACTGGCCTAATAATGTGGTCAGTGATTCTGTTCTACTTCCTAGTTTGTGCATAGTACCTGGGGTCTTAAAAGCTTGCAAGCAACCATCCAAAGAATGACGGTTGGTCTCTACAGAGGAAGAAGGGGAGTCAGGAATAGGAAGAGGATATGGAAAATGTGGCTAATTGCCTCCATGAACAACTGCCTCCTTTGTCAGGAGACCAGAACTGGATGGGGCCAGCTACCATTACTGAACATTTTGATCAAAGATTCTATAGAAGAATTGAGATCAAAAGGGGAAAATTGCAGAACAGAATTTCAAATATTCATGGAGTGTAGACTTTCTGGAGTCACAGAGGTTGGATGAACCCCTGAACCATTGCCATGACATAATCTTTAAGCCAAAAGTAACCCCAGAGATGATCTTAATACT